TATGCTTAAGATTGCTACTTCCCAGTGCATGCATGCCTTTTTTAAAAGCACATGTTATGTCGGTAGACGTTACGCAGTTGACAAAGGTATAGAGTATCAAAGGAATAGAACCGATCGATTTCAATTCCTAGCAAACTGCGTTGAGATGAAAGTATGATAATTAAAACATAGGATCTTTGTAAGTACTATTTGGATAATAAATACAAAAAATCACGAGCATTCGAGCGATTGATATTTAAAAGTAAGTGAATGAGTACAATTTGAATAATAAATACAAAAAATTAAGAGAGACAATAACCTTATTATAATTTTGTTTAGAGCTACTAATAACCATGTTTAGATCTATATTTAACTTCTAATGTGGCCATTGGACAAACAGCTGGGGACGAACTTTGGGGAGGATTTATTTGGGCGGGTGGTTTCATGTGAAGGAAAATACTAGGGTCCTCCACCCCTTCCTTGTCCACAAAAAAAGACAAGAAAATTAAAAAAAATAAGTAAATAAAAATAAAATAAAAATGAGTGGTGAAGAAAGAGGTGATGTACATTTGAGGTACATTTTTAGCATTCCTTTTCATGTGAATGGTCTCACAAGAAAACGTCCAAATTCAACCCAAAGTAAATGGGGACTATCCCAATGAATGAACACTTTAAAAAAAAAGCCAAAGAAAGGACAAATGTTCACATAACAAAACGTCCAAATTCTACACAAAGTAAATAACTATGACCATCTCAATGGGAAAAAAATAAGAGCCAAGTAAGGACAAATATACCTCTCATTATCACTACTCTAATTTTAAATGAGAAACCAAACCACCCATGAAAATTATATATGTTATGTTTTTACCTTAATTATATGCTAATTTATTTTAGAGAAAATAATTAATAGTATTTGGTATTGGGGTATATCGAGAGTCAGCTCAATTCATAAAGAATAAAATGTGATCTTAATTAAATAAATATTTCCTCGGTCACAAATTAAAAGAGATAGATTATTCAAAAAGAAAAAATTAATTTAAGACAACGAGAACTAATTAATATATATTCAAAAGTAATACTCCGGAGTAGTAGTTTTCATTTTTTTAAAATGTCAGTATTTTCGTTCCTTTCTGAAAATGAAGCACTTGTGTAGTTGTGTGGGTGCATTGGGCTTAAAAAAAGCAAAAAGAAAAAAAATTTTGTCCATCAATTTAAATGACCACGTACAATAAATTATTTTGGTAGGAAATTGAAATATACTTTTGAAAATTAAAATAAAAATGAAATAAAAAGGAGAGAAAAATTAGGCTGCCGCACGTTAGGCGGAAGAAGACAAAACATGTGTTATAGTGGCATTGTTTTTTTGTTTGTACTTTAAGAGCATCTGCAATGGTGAGGCGCAAATAGAATGCCACACGATGACGTGAAATATTTGAACTAATCAAAAATAATCCAGTCAGCGTGTGGCAAGCGAGTGGAGTAACGTGTTATGCAGTGGCAAGTCATTGTTTTTTATCATTTTTACACTTTTTTATATATTTTAATTATTATTTTTTTTCCGAATTTTTTTCCCAAAAAAAAAATAGATGTACTTTTTCAAATAAATAATTCTTTCTTGTATAATTTTTTATGTTTTTGAAATATAAATAAATAAATAAAAAACAAAAAAAGAGAAATTATGCCTTGCATATCATGGAGGAATGCTCCTCCCATGCGTGGCAATACTCACTTAAGTCCTATGTGGCATGACATGGCAGTCTTTAGACTCGTCATTGCCAATGCTCTAATAATGAGAAAATTTACTAATGACTTTTTTAATATATGATTATGCGTTTTTATTTTCTAATGTAGGACCATTGGTTATTATTCATTATTCATTATTCCAGAAATGTCCACCATCACTGAACATTATTCATCTTATTAGACAATATTAAGTTCTATTTAGTGAATAAAAAAGTTGAAGTCCTATTTTGGGAAATGACTTATGTTTTAGTCATATTCAGTACAAATTTTTCTTAAGAATATTGTTTTCCTTTAAAAAGTTTATTTTCAAACAAGGCCATAATGTACATTTGGCAACTTTTTTGGGTTTTTTATAAGCCTGTTTAATGAAAATTATTGTTTAAAATTAATCAGCACTGTTAAAATATTATTAAAACGTGATAACTAAAAGGATGTTCTTAACCAAAAATTTTTCTAGGTTTTTTAATTGGAAAATGTAAGGGACACTAATTTTTAACCTAACCATCTTACCTTATCACATATATTGATTTCAAAAGTACTCCGTATATGTTTCCATTTTTAATACTATAGGGCAAATGCTTTAGAACTGCTTTTACCCATCTTATGTTCATTACCAGAATTTCGGTTTTCCATATTAAGTAATGCCTACTTTCTTTTATGGCTTACATAAAGTTGAATGCTATAAAGAAAAGGAAAGGGTCACCCAAAAAACTTGATGAAAAGATTGGAATGTGTTGAAATAAGAGGAAACAAACTAAAGTATGAGTAAAAGATTACAACTATATCAAAATAAGAGTTCTATGTTTTTATTCATGAAATAGGAGTTGAAATGCATTTACATTATCAATCAAGACCATGTACATTACGTAAGTTTCGTTGCACATGGACAGTGCCACATTACCACAATGTGAACTCCTATTTAGAGAATAAAAACATAGAAATTTCTGTTTTGGTATTTTCTCTATATTTTAGTCCTATATAAGTGTGATTTCTTTTGAAATAATATTATTCGCTTAATTTTAAATGTAATAATGATACTAGCACGAGAAGTTAGGGTTCTGAAGACAAGTTTGTTCATTTGATCAAGTTCAAGGAACCAAACCTCCGAGGAACCACAGAAAAGAGAAAAGAGTTACGTGAGAAGGTCCGCCACATATAGAAGCGCTCTTCAATATCTTTATTTTTGAGACAGAAGATGATCCAATATATTTGTGCTAGTGTGGAGGATTTTGTGTATTTTCTATTCGTGCCGAGTCGAATAGTGTGCATTTTCTATCCCTCTCTACCAACTACTCCCTCCGTTCGAAAATATTCTTCCCATTTGACTTTTCTTGGTCAAAGTTTGTAAACTTTGACTATAATATGTGGAAAAAACACATTGTATTGCGATATAACTTTTAAATGAATATATTCATTTTGAAATATAGTTTTCAAATATCAAATTTTTTAAAAACATATCCATGTATAAATAAAGATATTAGTGGTCAAAGTGCAATCTTGGAAACCGTAAAAAGTCAAATGGGAAGAACATTTCCGGACGGAGGGAGTAGCATGTTTACTAAGACTAAAAGGCCAGGCACTTTCCATGCCTTTCTCTGCCTTTCTATCACTTTTGGATCATTCTCTGCCTTTCTATTACTTTCCATGCAATGCTCTCGAATTCGAGAAGAAATACAGACAAATATAGAGGAGAGGGATAGTGGACGGTGAGGTCATGATATATGGCGATCTAGCGTCGATGATGAAGACTGGTGGTGGCACCCAGCTTGTAAAAGAAGGGAGGCTAGGCTTTTCAAAAGAGATGCATTAGCTCTGACAGCATATTGAATAATGGAGTAGTTGTAATACTCAAGGAATAATGAAATACATGACTGCATATATCAAAAGGAATACAACCTCAACTAATGCTATGAATCAATAATAAAAGCTGGTTAAAATATAGACATAGAAGAGATAGTTATTATCATTGTATGATAGTGCCTTTTTCCTGTTCCCGCAAGAGGGGGCGGTGTTTCGGGACGAGATGGGGGCCACCTCAACTTCCCGTCGGGCCTTCGACTTACATCCACACCGGGTAGCCTAAGTCTAAACAATTAATCATTTTTTTGAATCATAATTTACAAAATCTTAGTTGCCATTTTAGATTACAAATCTTTTGTTTTACCCATAAAATATGACAATATCTTAGCCCAAACATCCTTTGGAAAATCAGAACATCCGTATACTCAAGTAAGAGTGGCGGACATGACAAAGTTGAGACGTGAAGAAGGTACTACTTGACAAAAACAAACAAAAAATCTTTATTTAAAAAAAAATAGGAAAAGAAAAGAAAGACCAAACCCCAAAAAATAAAAAACAAAAATAAAAAGATAAGACCAGTTTGGATTTTACAAGTACCTTAGAATAAGTAGGCCCCACTTAAACAGTTTATTGGACCGTCTCCCCCTTTGTCGTTTCTGTCCCCTCCCCCCCCCCCCGCTTCTTCCTTCTTTCCCCCGTCGTCTCTCTCTTGCCTTTTATTTTTGGGCTGAGTTTAACTAGTCAAAAGAAATTACTCTCCCCCTCACATTATTTGTTTAGTTTTGATTTTTTTCATTTAATTGTTTTCAACATTTGATCTATAATTAAATAAAATATATATTATATATTAATTAAATAAAATAATATTTTGAAAATATTTTATATAATATATCTAATAAAACTATTTTTGCATCAAAATCTAATATCATTTCAATTTAATTTAGAATCAATGTTAACTAATTTTGACCCAAAAAAGTAAAAAATACGGAGTATGGACAAATATTTCTAGAGGGAGAGAGTACCACAAAAATTAAATTGAATTTGAACTTTTGTAAGTTGACGCTTCTGTTTGTCATCAGCGTTTGAAATTAGTGTTTTGGAAAAAGTTATCTGACGATAGCTTTAATTTTAGCATTTTCAGAATTAATCTACACCAATAAAATTTATCTAAAACGCCAATCGAAAATGTTGTTCTCAAATAAGAACAATAAAGGTTATGCTAAACACAACTTTTCCTGATGATTCTTCTTTTCAATTAGTCTGTAATTAAAATTTAATTTATTTTTTTTTATTTCAAATTTTACTGTGTGGACTGATATTAGAAGACTCGAATGTAGACTATACTTTTTCATTTTTCTCCCAGCCTTTATAATTTCTCTCTCCCTTTCACAACATTTCTCAGTCTCCTCCTCCTCCCTCCACCCTCCTCTCCCCTGAACTTCAATTTTCAATCTATTGTGTCTCATCTTGTCGGCACTTTTCGATCTCCCCCAACTGTCCCTTCATCGGACAAACCGAACCTCCCCTGCTGTCACCCCTGATCCGTTATGACCCCTTCTCGGACCTGATCTCGTACCAAGTTTTGGTTCTTTCCGACCGCCGCCATGGCCGGAAGCAACGACGTCGACGCCAGTGATTCCAAGGTAACCTCCAATTGTTCCCTAATTTTGGGGATTCGTGTTTTTAGTTTCCCCGGGTCGACCCTACCCTTTTCAAGAAAGCTGTTTTTTTTCACGACTTGATCTGTCCTTAAAGATTGAATCTTTACACTCGATTTCATGATTTCTTGATTTGAGCTTTCTTGGGTTTGTTCATTTTCCGGTTTTTTTTGCTCATCGGCCTTTTTAATTTGCTTTTCAATTTTCTTTCTGTTTCTGGGTATGCATAAATACTTCAAGATTTTTGTTTTCCATTCTTGGGAGATTTGAGCAGTGACTATAAACAGTTTTATAATGGTTTTTTCTTTCTGGGTTCTGACTGATGTGTTTCTTTCTTTCTTTCTTTCTTTCTTTTGTGTCCTTTCTGTAGAAGGTTGTTCCACTCAACACTTGGATTCTGATTTCCAATTTCAAGCTTGCTTACAACTTGCTTAGAAGGGCAGATGGCACTTTCAACCGTGATTTGGCCGAGTTTCTCGACCGGAAAGTCCCCGCGAACACTATTCCGGTGGACGGTGTCTACTCGTTTGATGTCGTGGACAGGGCAACCAATCTGCTGAACCGGATATATAGACCCGAACCGGAGGATGAATCGGATTGGGGCAAGGTGGAGCTCGAGAAGCCCCTGAGCACGACCGAGATCGTGCCCGTGATCGTCTTCTTCCACGGCGGGAGCTTCACGCATTCCTCCGCCAACAGCGCGATCTACGACACGTTTTGCCGCCGGGTCGTCAAGATCTGCGGGGCCGTCGTCGTTTCGGTCAACTACAGGCGGTCGCCCGAGCACCGGTACCCGTGCGCGTACGATGACGGGTGGACCGCGCTGAATTGGGCCCACTCGCGGCCGTGGCTGAAGAGCGGGCCCGACAGGCGGGCCCACGTGTACTTGATGGGCGACAGTTCCGGCGGGAACATTGCCCACCATGTCGCGGTCCGGGCCGCGGAGTCGGGCGTGGACGTCTCGGGGAACATACTCCTGCACCCGATGTTTGGAGGGCAGAAGAGGACCGAATCCGAGACGCGTTTGGACGGGAAGTACTTCGTCACGGTCCAAGACCGTGACTGGTACTGGAGGGCCTATTTGCCCAAAGGCGAAGACCGGGACCACCCGGCGTGTAATATATTCGGGCCCCGAGGAATCAACCTCGGGGGTCTGGATTTCCCGAAGAGTCTGGTCGTCGTGGCCGGGCTCGACGTTTCCCAAGATTGGCAATTGGCATATGTTGAAGGACTTAAAAAGTATGGGCAAGATGTGAGGCTCTTGTTCCTAAAGGAGGCGACCATTGGGTTCTATTTCTTGCCCAATAACGACCATTTCGTTACCCTCATGGAGGAAATAACCAATTTTATCCATCCATATCCATCCTTTAGCAATTTAGCATGTCCAGAAAGCTCTTGACCCGGGTTTCGGGCCCGGATCATCGATCTAATTATCCGGATTTAGAAGTAGCAACCCACCGTGTGAGTGGGTTTTATATATGCTTATTTTGTTCTTATAAAGAAAGCCTAATTTTAGTAATATATGGATCTGGGAGAGTCCATAAACATATAGATTTGTCTATGGGTATGTAATGTATATATTTGTGCTTTAGAAATATATCATTTCTTCAAGTTTCCATTTACTTATTATTAGCTCAAAACTTTGGGTACTTTATGGAATATTGTACTCCCTCCGTCCAATAAAAGACTTTGATTATGCTTTCTCTTTTTAATGTTCAAAAATTAATTTTACCTTTCTTTTCTAGGAAATAAATGTGTGGATATCATTGGGTTTTACACTTCCAAATGATTTTTAAGCACAAGCATTTTTATTTTTTCTCAACTTTTTAAAACTTTTTTAAATTTTGTGAAGTTAAAATGTTAGGGTAGATTTTTTCAAAGCAGGAGGGAATGCATATATCTTAATATGCTTTAATGAAGTAATGATTTACTTTGTTTCTTAAATTGGTACATCGTAAATTTGTAACATTCCCGACACAAACGTGAAAGATAGGTAGATATGTCTTCGGTCGTCACGTTGCTGACGTCAATCTTGAACACGTAATGATACATGAGTAGTTGGCTCTTGGCGCGATTGTAATGATAGACGCTTTTGCTGAGAGATTGTACATTTGATAAAATTTTGTAATGTTTCAGGATGTACAAGGACGTGTTTGGCAAGTGTTGTTTGGCGAGATGGTCTAGTAAAATTTAATAAATGAAACAATTCCTCATCATACTGAAACAAAAACGGAGTATATGTCAAAACTCTCTTCTAATTTTATTGAGTTATTTACATAAATAGTTCACTTGTTGTCCATAAGTGGATTAATATTTATCAAACTTTTAAAAGCTGCAGAATAGTCTCTGCGATCAAATAACTAGTCCATTTGTTAGGGATTACGTGTGAAGCTTGCACAACACGCGCATATGATGTGAAGATGCAAAACATATAAGAATAAAGAAAGTTAATCAGAAGTTTCAGTTGGTGATGTGTAAGCTTGAATTGAACCAGAATATATTGTCTTCTATATTCTGGTTCAATTTTGATAACTTTTTCATGTCTTTTATAGTGATCATTTTGAGTCGTACAATGTTCTAGTAAGTTCACATTGTTTTACCATTCTAAGTAGTTTTATTGGAGGGAGTATATGCATTTCAATATGCTTTAATGTATTGATGATTTATCTTTGTTTCTTAAGTTGGTAGATATTAAATTCGGAACATTCCCGACACATACCTGAAAATAATTTGTTATGTTCCCGATTTTCTCACTGTGACATCAGTACAAAAAATGTGATAATATGTGAGAAGTTGGCCCTTGTCATGATTGTAATGAAACTTGGAGTTACTAAGAAATTGTTCATTTGATTAATTTTCTAATATTGTAGAATGCACAAAGACGTGTCTGGCAAGTGTTGTTCGGTGGAATGGTCAATTGAATCTTAGTAAAAGAAACGATTCATCCGACCAAAATAAATACATAGTATATGTCAAAATTCTCTTCTATATTTTTGCACCATCTCTGCATAGTATATGTGAAAATCCTCTTCTGTTGTTCTTTCATCAGAATCCTAGCTCACAATCACAATCATATTTTTGTGTTATTCATCTAACCAATATCAGAATATGTCACTAGACATAAGGTTGATGCCAAATTATACTTTTGGACTTTAAAATAATACCAGCATGCAGAAGATTAAAAAAAGGACCATTTATGGAAAGACACCCATAAAAATTGAACTACGAAAGTAATATTTGATAATAGAGAATTAAATACGAAAACTCCTTGGTTATAAAGAACCAATTATGAAATTTAGTCTTCTTTTTTTAATTGCAAAAATTTCACTATTTCATAACTGTTCTATCATAATGTCCTTCACACGATAGATGTGATTCACATCATTGTACAATGCGAGAGTAATTCCACATTTATTTGTATATGTAACGTCTTGGCTTGTGTATTTTTCATGCCACTGCACTGTTATGGATATCTCAATTTTGCACACAATCTCTCCAGAATAAATCAGCTTGTTACTTTTCAATTTGGGCATCGCTCGCCGTCAATCATCCGTTAATGTTCATCGTGGTTTCAAACCAATAATGTCCACTTGGTTTGGATTTAAGTAAGTTTAAGCCTGAAGCAAAAAAAAAAAGGTAAACCGACATATCATTTCATCATCTGGTTTCATTCATCTCATTGAATAACTGAACAGCCTCTTCGATCGCATTCACCTTCCGCACACAGGCAAGCCATCTTCAGTTTCAACCATGCATGAACTTCTCCTTGTAGAAATTTCTTGCTCAAACAGCTTTAGAAATAATATAGTTTGTAGGCTTTGCTTGTAATATATATTATTTGATAGGCAATACCCATTTATCATGGCAGCATATATAGTTTTCTATGGTTTTGCAATAATTGAGATTATCAAAGAATAATTCAGCTTCCTCCGATCCACCTTATTCCCCACACACAAAAACCTTCAATAATTACATTATGAAGAAAATAATAAGAGGGAAAATATTCTGTATATTAAATTGTTCTGCTAAGTACAAGGAGTTTCTCCTTTATTTATAGGAGAGGATAAAGACCAAAACACAAAAGAAATTCTATTCCTACAAGGAAACAAATCACTAAATATGAACAAGGAAACAAATCAAGAGCAATCCCACTTAGAATGGGATTTGCTCTCCTTCTTGCCGTGTGGTCCAAGGAGCACCGCCCAACACCCCCCCTCAAGCTGGAGCACGCGGATTCTGGATGCCCAGTTTGGACAGCAAATGGGAAAATAGAGCGGAAGCCAAAGCCTTTGTAAAGAGATCTGCCGGTTGTTCATTGGTGGAGATGTGGCGAGTACACAAAACACCTCGTTGGATTTCGTCACGCACAAAGTGGCAATCAATTTCAATGTGTTTCGTACGCTCATGGAAGACAGGATTAGCTGCAATATGGAGGGCTGCCTGATTATCACAAAACAACCGCATGGGTTGTTTGTGACACACACCAAGGGAGAAAAGCAGGGATTTCAGCCATTTTAGTTCACAAACAGTGGTTGCCATAGCCCTGTATTCGGCCTCAGCCGAAGATCGGGAAACGACACTTTGTTTCTTTGTTCGCCAAGAGACCGGAGAATCGCCAAGAGTGATAAAATAACCAGTAACAGAACGTCGAGTCAAGGGACACCCAGCCCAATCAGAGTCACAGAAAGCTTTAAGGGTAAGATCACTCTGTACTGGAAGAAACAATCCTTGCCCGGGACAGGCCTTGATGTACCGTAGNATACCTGGATTACCTGCTACTACTATATTTAGCTGTCATTTTATTATTATGTCATTTGATCTTTTATTGCAGTGTATTCATTACTCAGTTAAAGTCTCTGTTTGTTCCCGCCAAAGTTGCAGCGCATCACATTCCTATAAAAATTGAAGAACATAGAGTTCAGGTAATATCTTTCTTCTGATAACGATGCACATTATTCTTTTTATTTTCTACATATTTGGTTTGTGTTCAGAATGTCTTTTCACTACTACTTAGAAATGTTTATGGTGAAGTCATTTCCTAGAAACTCAACACATGTTTGAATTGTTTTATTGAAAGAACTTAAAAGGAACTGTGCCTCTTTGGCTATTTGTCTAATATCATGATCTGAATGTTCAATATTTCATTCATTTCATCCAATAAATTACATGAGATTTATGCTTGAATGAAAGGTAACCCACTGTTGAGCCAAGTGTGAACTATACTATTCAAATGGCTAATACTCCCTTAATCGCTCAAGCTCAAATAGGCTTAATAATTTGGGTTCTAGTTCGGCTTATATGGTCTAAGGAGGTGTTTTTGTATGGCTTGAGCTCGGTTTGATTATCTGCAATCATGGGTCATCCAGAAACAGCCACTTTATGTTTTAAACAAAGAGGTCCTGTGGTGCTTGAGCCGGGGGTCTCTTTGGAGACAACATCTATACTTTCGAGTAGGGGTAAGGTCCTGCTTTTATGGATTCAACTGGGTTGTTGAAGGCCCGAATAATAGACTCCGACTCAAGATTAGTTCACATATATTTAAAATTATTAATATCACACACACACACAAAACCTAAAAGCGCATGAGCCAGCTCGCAAGTCACAAACCAAAAATAATTAAGTTGGGGGTTTGCATTAAAATATCTTTTATGTTTATCCTTGTTAATCAAGAATTACTATATGACTGTACCAAACCCATAGTCATAGGTTTCCCGTCTCACCGTCTGTGGGCAAAACCAATCTTAAATCTAGGTTGAGATTTCCACTGCTGGCTAATTGGGCCCTGGCAACTAGTTTCAATTATATATTGTGATGGGTAATTAACCCGTTAAAAGAACTAGATGTCACCCTTTTCAGTTTTCCTTGGAGTGGATGGTTTTCCAGGGGAAATGTCGGTGGATAAAAATCTGTTTCTTTAACTATATTTGTCTTAAGTTGACGTATTCGTCCTTCAGGAGGCTCAAAGTGAAGTAGGAGGCTCGTTCCCACAACTGAGGATTGTGGACCCACCAGACCTCACTAACAAAAGGGCGGATATCAGGGAAGATAAATTGGATATATCATCTTGTCTAGAAGTGGACCAGCACAAAATTGGTGGCAGCGGCCCATGTAAACCTGCTCATGTGGAAATCTCGAAATCTGAATCTATTTGGGGTGGAGTTAAAGTCATAGAGTTGGAGAAAGAAGCAGATTATTTTGAGGCAAATGAATCAGATTCCAACTCGAAACTAGAGAAGAACTCTACCACTAATCAAGTGATAAACCATATTGAACACATCAAGGGAGATAGAGTGGGACATGTGAGAGATGATGAAATGGCTGAGAGTGCACAGCATGAAGCGATTCCTCACAGGAAAAGAAAGCGTACCATAATGAATGCTAAACAATTAAGTATTATAGAGAGTGCCCTCATGTTGGAACCTGGGTTGCAGCGAAATAAAGGTTCTTTAGATTTCTGGGCTAATGAATTATGTGTCCATGTATGTCACGATAATTGTCTTTTATATATTTTCACTATTTAAGCCTGTAAGTTATAATCCTTAAAGAATTAATAACATCTTTCCCAGGGTCCTGAGGTTTCAAGAGCCCAGCTTAAAAATTGGTAAGGAGACATGTTTCTTCCTTTTGATTTTCTAATTAAGCATATTTTAACCATTTCACATTCATAGATTGGGATGTTCCTTCGTATTGTTTTCCATTGCTTTTGTTCCTTGAGCAACACACATGATGAACAGCATGCCCTCTTAACTTCTTTCTTGAAATCAACATTATGAGATTATCCAATGAAATGTGATCTCTTCATAGCTGGCAATATGTGAATAGTAGTTATTTTATGTGCACCTTTTGTTTTGTTCCTACAGGCTGAATAACCGAAGAGCAAAGCTTGCTCGTGCTGTTAAGGATGGATGTATGTCATCTGAAGGAGACAATCCTCCTGAGAAACAGGGCGGCACTGTATTAATCTATCCATTAGATTCAGCTGGCGACCCTGCTGATGATATCACCTCAAGAGATACTGTTGCTAATGGGAACTCAAGAACTGTGACTGGATCCAGTCAATCCACCAAGTGCCAGCCAGGCCAGTACGTCATGCTCTTAAATGACAAAAATGAAGAGATTGGAAAAGCAAAGGTTTTTCAGGTTAGTGGCAAATGGCATGGGAAGGATGTGGATGAGCTAGGCACATGTGTTGTGGACATTGTTGATCTGAAAGTTGATAGGTTATCTTGGCTTCCATACCCTTCTGAAGCCACAGGTACCTCGTTTGAACAAGCCGAAAGAAAATTCGGGTTCATGAGAGTCATGTGGGATTCAACCAATCTATTTGGGTTTCCTCGGTGAAACAACGCACCCTTTTTTATGGGAAGGGCACACTAATTTTGGTATGTATACAATACATTTCTAGAGTAAGAATTATTTTGTGGCGAGTAGAATTAAAAAAAGAGTAAGAATTATTTATTACTTTTTATAAAGTTGGGCGTATACATTTTCGTTCTATGTATATGTTAAGTGCTCGTTTGGTAATATGGGTTTTCTACCTACAAGTCTTATACCGAACATTTCTACCAAACAGACTTAATTTGACAGCAGTAACAAAGTAGTTTAGAAGTAACTTTCAAATTACTGATCAGTCTCCAAATGAACTTTAGAGTTACTACTTACATAAACATGTCACCTCTTGTTTTATCAAAAAAAATTGAAAGTAACTTAAAATAAACATCTCACCATGCATGTGTCAGTTAATTTGGAGACAAAAGGAGTATTTTTTTAATAGGTTAAAATATTAAATACCCAAAGAGGAGTAAAACATGAAGAGTCTAAAATGGCTTGTTGAGAAGATTATCAAGTGCTGCTTTTAGCAAGTAGAATAAGCCCATGATTGCAACCAAATGTTACAAATGCAGCCATAGATTTACAAGTTCCACTTGAGTTTTTTGCAGGGAAAAAAATGAGCGGTTCGAGCAAGGAATGCCGACTCGGAGACTCTTGGTGGGTGGGTGCTTGATGCAGAAACAGAGTGAAGGAATGAATACCAACTGGTAAGGTTTTCTGTTTTCAAATGTTTCATCTCATCAATATGACCAAACACTTGAGACTGGACAAGACAATGAAGTGTTGTTTTGTTGCATGTTTATATATGCTCCAAATGTATGCTACTTGTAAATTACATCTAATCTATGTTTGATTCTATTTTTTTTATATTAAAGACCTGTTTGAGAATAGCGTTTTTTATTAGCGTTAGCGTTTTGGATAAAATTTTAACGGTGCATATTAACTTTGAAAATGCTAACGCTAAACGTTCCCCGTAGATAGCCTTTTCCAAAGGCTTTCCAACGCTATTACCAAACAGGTCCTAAATTTATTACTGGGTATCGTTGTTATTTCATATTGCCTTTAAAAGAATTGGAGGGCACTATCTCCCAACCCTTTACTACTTGTTGTCTTCATTTCCTGGATCCCCAGTTGTTGAAATTAATGCCAAACAACATGGTAGTGGAAAATCAATGCATTGACTAAATTTAAATTTACGTGTTTGTTTGCACGTATATTTCCGAGTATTAACGAGTACTCAAATTTTTTTCTCTTCCAATTTCTAAAAAATTATCACAGTTTGATTTTTAGTGTCAAATTGTGACACTTTTTGACCGTGAATTATAGAAAATGTATATTTAGTTATAATGTAAATTTAGTAAATTTGAATTTATTTTAAAATATACTTTTGCAATATTAAATTTTATAATATTTAATTATTTTAGACTACATTTAATTCCTAGTCAAAGAGTGTCACAGTTTGACCAAAAAACAAGAAAATGTAAAGAAACTAATACTGGATATAAAAAAGAATTCATCTTTGTTAGTGTTTGAGAAGTATGTTATAGATTTGGATATACTCCCTCCGTCCTGCTATATTTGTCCACTTTTGATTTTTGGAACTATTCATCTAAGCACTTTGACTCATCAAATTCTCTCAATGTGTAAGCCTAAATATAGTCATGTGTGATCTTGTTTGATTTGTCTTAACATATAGATTATTAATATATAATTTCTATAATTTTTTAATATACAAATTACAAGATAAAATAGATTAAAGAAGTGTATTGGATGGTGTGCAAAAATGAAAGTAGACAAATACTTTGGGACGTAGATAGTATAATGCTATTGTGCACTCGTCATGTATAAAACTATAAATACAATTTTTAAGTCGTTGGAGAAATTGGAAAGAGTTAAAAAAACTGAGAGGAGTTGGAAGGAGCTAGAAGACGTTGGATAAATTTGAAAGTTAACTTTTCTAACCAAAAAGAAAAGAGACTAGTATTTAAAAAAACAATAATTTATTAAAAAACAACTTCACGAGATTAAACAATATCATGCATTTGGGAAGGAAGTAATAAATTTAACTTGTCACTCTAATTTGTTTTACACACTTTTTCCTTTTTTTATTACGAAAGAGAATAATAGTCCGATCCGCATGTTATGGAAATTTGGCTTTTTTTTTTCTCGAAAAAAAAACCTTTTTCAGTGTCAATTTTTCTTTTTGAAAAAAAGAATAGCAAAAGTAAATCGTGTGTTTATAATTAATTCCACAACCCCCCACCAGTAATTTTTCATACTCACCGCCCACGGTTTTGTCTCAAATCTAAACATTAATCTCTTCCTCTTATTAAAAAACAAATTCTACAATCAAATTGATATGATAACTCAGAAAAATGAAATCGAGTGGTTGACATTATTCAAAGAGCAATAAAATGAATCATTAAATGAAAAATTGACGTATCAAAACTATATACTAAGATGAATCTAATTATATTGAATTTACATTATAATTAAATATACATTTTTCATAATTTATGATAAAATATCATTGTTTAACCAGAAAAGTTAAAACATGAAAGTTTTTTTTGAGATGGAGGTAGTATATTAGTAGTAAAAGTTATAATAGACTTTTAATAAAAAAAATTGGGAGTATCAAGAATTATCAAGAATTATTAATTGTTCGTATTTATTACGATAAAAAATTGAGAAAATTGGGAGGATGGAGGTTGGATGCATTTACACATTGACTATTTTGTTGGTGACTTTTACCCCTTGGTTAAAAAAATATACTTCCGGGATTTAATTTTTAGAGTTTGAAATTTGCATTTTTAAAATCTTAGGTTTGAACTTTGAAGTAGAGTCAATAATGTGAAATCTTAAATCTATCCACCAAAATAAAAATAATATTCCCCTCATCCCCAAAAGATTGCAACGCTAAGCTAAACAAAGCAAATTTTTAAGTTTTTTTCAATTCATTTTATTTAAAGATTGGTAGAGAAATAAAAATTAAACTTATATATTTAAAAACTGCATCAAAAGTTTTACAGGCCGGTGATAAGAATATTTTGTTTTATCAAATAATAAATTAAAATTTAAAATGAACAAAAGTTTCTGTGATTTTTGATATAGTGAAATGTGGCAATATTTTTGGAACGAAGGAAGCATGTAACTTATATTTTACAACAAATCTTACATGAGGAATTTGGCACCAAAAATTTCACAAATATGTACACGCAATGTTAGTATATGCATATATCTAGCATTACTCATGAGTGACACACAAAATATACCACTGCACAAAATATTAGGTAGAATGAATAACTCTTTTTGTTGATATATACTTCATATAAAATTCTTTTAGAGTTTGGTGTACAAAAGAAAATTTTCACTTATATGTATAAGCCTCGCTTAATATATATATATATATATATATATATATATATATATATATATATATATATATATATAATAAATGAAACCAATTATATGTCCAAATACTTTTCAAAAAATATATATGTCCACAATACTATTAACGGGAGCGATCTTTTTGACCTTGAAAGGAAGACCAAGTTATAATCTGAGGAACATACGATACTTTGTTGATAAAATTGCTCCATCTCAAGAAGACGATGGGTCAATATCTCCTTGATGGACAATAAATCCACCAAATGATCCGATTTACAGAGCGGATCGCAACAACAAAATTAAGAACAAGAATTCGAGAATTGGATGTGTATTATTAGCTTGATTTAGCCCTTTCCTCTCCCCTTTCGGGTCCCTTCTATTTATACACGAGCTCTCAACAATTAAGGTGAAGCGTAACCGATGGAGTTTAGCCCGCCAAGGGCGCGATCCCCTTTTTCTGGCTCCGTAACGGCCAATCAGCTTCGTCTCCTTCTCCGGACTGACTCTGCCAACTGCGCTTGGCCTGAGGTTAACTAGGCCCAGCTCCTTGGGCCGGCCCAGCTTGAGTATTCCACAGGTGCTTGACCCGAAGCTGTTTAAATGGTTCATTTGGGCCATCCTCTGGATATCGGCCCATCATAAGCCCCCCAACTCCTCAGTCCTCAGATGGGCCAAGCGGAGGAGTGGGGAGTTTGCAAAGTCCACGTGGACGCTCCAGCGGGGATCCGGGCCGTTCCTTGGGTTCCGCACGACACTTGGGCACGATTTCCACAAATAAGTAATCATGGCCTGCCGATTCGCCTCCCTGTTGTCAGTTAAAAACCGCCGCTGGACGCCATCTCTTCCTTTTGCCTTCTTCACTACCGTTCGTCTGCAACTCCGCTGCTCACCCGACTCGTTCTTCTTCCTGTCCAGGTCAGTTCCTTCTCTCGCCGCCATGATTGTCTCGGATTCCGATTCGGCTACCCCATCGCCCAATTCTCGCCAAGCCGGCCAATCGGCCTCTGACCGTAACCCCGGCCACACTCCATCACCCCGGCCGTCGCCGTNTCCGTCGATGAATCCAATTTTCCATTTTGCACGGAATGCAATTCTCATTGCACGAGCCCATTCTTCATAATTATCACCGTTTAGTTTGACTTGGGTGATAATTAATCCAGGTGTGTCTGCGTTCTTGAGTTCGTAAGAACTTCCCTTCGTAGGGATTTTTTCTTCCTCATCGAAAAGCTTGCCGACGAGATTTTCTTCTACTTCTGCCATGTCGACGGTCGAGGAGGATAGTCCGGCGGTCGATGTCGGTGATCCGGCGGAGGACGGTGATGGACCGTCGTATGTCTAGATTAGGGTTTTTCCCTAGGAATCTTGCTCCGATACCATGAAGAAAATAATAAGAGGGAAAATATTCTGTATATTGAATTGTTCTGCCAAGTACAAGGGGTTTCTCCTTTATTTATAGGAGAGGATAAAGACCAAAACACAAAAGGAATTCTATTCCTACAAGAAAACAAATCACTAAATATGAACAAGGAAACAAATCAAGAGCAATCCCACTTAGAATGAGATTTGCTCTCCTTCTTGCCGTGTGGTCCAAGGAGCACCGCCCAATACATTATATGTAACATCAGTTGGGCTTAAATATATCTTGTCTCAACACCCTTTTTGTTCTCATCATACATCTCTAGCTAGCTACATAGACATCTAAAGCTTTAGCATGATTCCCTGTCTCACAGTAACCCTGATGAACTAGTGCCCCATAAGAATATATAGTCATCTGGAATGAGACCTTAATTATATCCATACGTCAATGACAAAGTATCCGAATAATCGCCGCATAAGTATCAACCCCACACTGCAACTCACGCTCTTTCATTTGTCGGAAGTATGCTACTGCAGAATTCGGCTGATTCCTTAATCTTCAGAGAAAACTTGGACTAAACCAGCCAGAACTGTTGACATTACTGCTTGAACTTTCTCCATCAGAAGAACTAGAAGAAGAGTCTGAGGGATATTGGCTCAACTGGGCAAGTGCAGAAAGTGATTTAACTCGAAATGAATTAACACTTCTCAAGACTTGTCTATCACAAACTGTCTTGATGAAGTTTAATGTGCCACTTTGACTTCGTACATATCAAAAACATGAATTTTAAAAAAAAAAAATGTGTAAGCACATATGCACAAAACAAGTATTTTAAGCATTTGGGGGCACAAATTTTTATATACTCCCTCTGTTTTAAAAGGAAGTTCACACTTTCTTTCTTTTTTTCCCACATGTTCCAAAATGAGGTTTACATTTTTCCACTACTTTTTTTTACGAAACAAATATGTGGCTGTTACAGACCAAACGGAAGAACTCAAGCCAAAAGACTAGTCTCATAGGTGAGGAAACCCATTTGGCCTATAAACCCCACATCAATTGTCCATACAACCGATGTGGGACAAGTCCTATACCTTGCAATGGTTTCGGTCCATAACAGTGGCTCTCACTTTTGTGAGATCAGACTTTATTGTTGTTTATCATTTCTCTCTCTTCTAAATGAATTTCAACCATACATCATTCACATTTCACCAAACACCATTTACTTATCGATATTTTCTTTAAACTCCGTGAAGTCAAAGCATAAACTTCATTTTGGGACATGCGGATCATAAGATTTCTTGTGGTAATGTACGAATGTGCACACACATATGTTGACAAATATGAACATAAAGCTCACATATATACATCTAGCAGATGAAGTGTAGACATTGTACCTTTTGATTGTGTCGATAGTATCGAGGGTCTGGGGGGCAACGTCCTCGAATTTTGTTTATAAAGGCAATATGAAATGACAAGACGAAAGTAATGAATACGGAGTTTAATTTAAAGATGGCAGATTGTATTGTTGTCTCATACGGAGTAACAAATTTGTACACAGCTATAATTCTTATTTTAAAAAATGACAATATCATTAGTTTTACAAAATTCATTTTTTTGGCTAAACTTCACTATTAGTCCTGCAACTTTATAAGCTGTGCATGTTAGTCTTTTAAGTTTCAAAAGTCCATAAATAGTCCTTCAACTTTATGAATTATGCACGATTGGTCCTTTAAGTTTCAAAAGTCCATAAGTAGTCCTTCAAGTACCCGTCAGCCCTCCAGATGAGGTCTTTTTGACGATAAATGTTAAAAGCTAAATAGAGTACTAGTTCCATATAATACGGAGTAGTCGTACCTAGTGAAATTTACTCATATTATATGGAACTAGTATTCCGTATTTATGAATTTAAAAATGAAAAACTAAACAAAATAAGAAAGAAAGGAACAACAGACAAAAAAGAAAGAAGAAAGAAGCAAAGAAGAAACGACAACAAAGTTAAAAAAAAGACATTGCACAAAATTAGACGCGAAAAGTGAGAGGGGGGGGGCTGCCTTTTCCATTCCCGATAAGGGGTGGTAGCTGATGAGATTTAGCTCAACGATTTTGGCGTAGGCTTGTATTATCTAAATTCGTTTGGGTTACAATGGAGGGATTTACCCCTTATTTATAGAGGGAATACAATTTATGAATATAATTTATTTGATAATGACATCAAAATCCCTTCTTGTTTTATAAAATTATTTGAGTAGTTTTTAAGTATAAAAATTTTCATTTATTTTCTATCTCGTTTTATAATAAAAATTGAATTAAAAATAATTTGACTTTAACATCATAAACTGAAATAGACAAATTTATATATTAATTTCTTTATCAAATGGTCAATAAATAAATATTGGCAAACAAAAAGTTTATAAAAGATACTCAAAAAAAACAAAGAGGACATTAATCAAGTTATTCTTAGAATTTCTTCCTCAGTTGTTTCTTCTTTCACCCTCAATGTGATCATAGTTTGGGAAGACCCAATTACTTTGACTTCCATGAGTAACTTCATTGAAGAACAGATGGACCCCACATGTTTGGGTTCCAAAAATCGTCATAAGGAAGACTGGAAGACAAAGAACAATATGCCAAGTAAAAACCAGACATGACACATAGACTATGGTCCGACTATGACGGCAACGGCTCACTGAATCTAATACTCCCCCTCCAAAAATTATTTATAGAATCAAATTTTATTCTCTTTGCTTAATTTTTAATATAATATACGGAGTAATTATTTTTATAGATTTTTTATGTAGTTTTTAAATATGTAATTTTATTTTTTTAATTTCACACCATTTTAATATAAATAATTTAAAAAAAAAAATATTTTTTTTGGACAGTGAAAGTATATTTTTAAGTATATGGAATACTCCGTACCATCGAACATATACACTATGTTTCATTCATTAAGTTAATGGTTCATACTAGAATTCCCTTGATAAACACTCTAGTTGGGCTCGTCTCTAACGCACCCTGCACCCAGCAATTATACTTATAAAATTTATTGATTATAAGATCAAATGAAAATTTTAGGAGTACACAAGTACATCGAGGACGGATTAAGAGATTTATCACGGAAAACATAAGGACATGAAATTTTAATTTTATAAACGAAACACTCTAAATGCATGAATTAAAATAATGTTTTTTTATAATATATAATGAAAATTAGAAGATGGACACTATCGAATAGCAATTCATAGGCTTTGATGTAAGTATCATTAATTATGTGCATAATATTATTTATTCTTCTTATGTTACTGTTATAAAACATAAAACAGAGAGTAGTAACGTTAAAAAACAAAATTTAACAAATAAATGAATGGTCTTCCCCACCACAACGGCCATAATAGGAACATTCCTATAATACCCCTGCTGCACACCTGTCATTTCCCCGTTTTGCCCTTCCATCCAATGCACTGTTCTGTGGGCCTAGTCTTCTGCTTCCCTGCTCTCAACGGGCAAGGGCTCTGTACGGGCAGCACCATGCAATTATACTGCAAACACAGCGAGCTGCTGACCGGGATTTCCGCCGCCGGCGTTATCGAGATTCCGGTCAGATAGTTGTGCTGCAAGTAAAGAACCTGTATGCCCGCCGAGAGTAAACGGTCAACGATGCTCGTCGGGACGTCGCCGGTGAACTGATTGTTGTTCAGGTAAAGATTCTGCACCGTCGCGAACAGGGGAGATATTTCTCCGTGCAGGCGGTTGAAGCTGAGATCCACGGTCTGGATGACAACCTGGTCTGTGGGTTGAACCGGGCCGGAAAGCCTGTTTCTTTGGAGCTGGAGATTGGTGATTGGGAATTTGAAGACGGTCACCGGGATGCTGCCGGTGAAACGGTTCGAGCTCAGGTCGAGATAGTTCAGCCTGTTAAGCCGGGTTAAAATCTGATCGACCGGGCCGGTCAGCCGGTTCCACGACAGAGAGAGGTACTGGAGTGACGGCGGGAAAGCGTTGGCCGGAACCGGACCGGAGAGGTTGTTGTGCTTGAGGTCAACTCGGGCTAGGCTTTGAGAGACAAACGGAGGAACGGCGCCGGTGAGACGGTTGTGACTGAGAATGACATTGGACAACGCAGGCAAAGCTCCGATGACCGGAGAGATATTCCCCGTGAAGAAATTGTAACTGAGATCGAGGGTCTGTAGTCTCCGGAGCTGTCCAAGCGACCCCGGAATCTCGCCGGAGAGAAAGTTCCGGCTGATCCCAAGAAACCGAAGGTTCTTCAACTGCGAGAGAGTTTCCGGCAAGGACCCCTTTATCTTCCCCGGAACCACACTGAACTCAGCAAGACGAGAAAGCTTACCCACAGCCGGATCAATCTGCCCGGTCAATCCGGAAGACCCGGCCCTCGGGTCGCCGAGATTCAAGGAGACCACGTTGTCACCGTCGCAGAAAACTCCGGGGAAGTTGCAGGGGTCGGAAGTGAAGTCCCAGGAATCGAAGAAGCTAGAACCGGGCAAGTCGCTCAAGCTCTTCCGCATGGCTTGGAGGGCCAAGAAGTCAACGGGGTCGAGAATCGCAAGCGCAGAGAAGCTCCACACCAGAAGACAGACGGCGGCGAACAATCGAATCATTGTTGCCGGAGTTTCAAGAAACAGAGCAACGAATAGAGAATAAGAAATCTGAACTTCTGATGAAGAAATTGAAGATTTCTTTCTTTCTTTATTATTTGTGCGGGATTTCTTCTTCTTGTTGAATTGGGTTGGGGAGAGAATGGAAAAAGAGAGAGAGAGAGAGAGATCGCCGGAGAGGAAAGGTGATGAGTGTTAAATGGTCACTCGCACTCTGCGTGTGGGGGGATTATTGGTTTTTGATGGGTTCGAGGGATAAACGGTTGTCCGAGCCTACGTGGATATCCGAAGCTGGGGCGTGTTAGTGACAATAAGCAGTGTCCAGCTTCGCGGACGACGATAGCCACGTAACCTATAT